ACATGAAAAAATGTTCAACATCACTGGTCATTCGAGAGATGCAGATGAAAACAATGCTGAGATTCCACCTCACCCCAGAAAGAATGGCCGCTATCAAGAAATCAACTAATAACAAATGCTGGCGGGGTTGTGGGGAGAAAGGAACCCTTCTCCATTGCTGGCGGGAGTGCAGACTGGTGCAACCACTGTGGAAGTCAGTATGGAGATACCTCAAACAACTAGGATTGAAAGTCCCATTTAACCCAGCTATTTCTCTGCTGCATATCTTCCCAAAAGAATTAAAAGAATCATACCACAGTGATATATGCTTACCCATGTTTATAGGGGCACAGCTTGTAATAGCTAAAACTTGGAAGCAGCCCAATTGCCCATCAACTGGAGACTTGATAAAGAAGATGTGGGGTCTTTTTATAAAATGGAGTATTACTCAGCCATAAAGAATGAGAAACTAGAGACATTTATAGCTAAGTAGATGCACACTGAGGCCATACTCATAAGTGAAATAAATAGGACACGTGTAAATACCAAATAGTTTCTCTGGTGTGAAAAACTAAAAGTGTAAATAAGGATCAAAATGTATAATTGATATTGTGAAATAAGAAGAAAAGGTCTAAAGGAATAGGGGAAATGAGAGGGGTAGGGGAAAGGAAAGAAGGGAAAAGAAAAAATATGAGAAAAGGAAAAAAATGGAAACATTATTTGTAAACAGGGAAGGGGTGACAGGAGGGCCGGGGAACGGGGAAAAAATAAGAACCAAGATACATCATGTAAAGGTACAAGACACCAATGATGAATGTAACTATACTGTATACCTAAAATGTACCAATAAATAAACTTAATAAAAAAATAAGAGAAGAGAGAAACATTTTTAAAAAATCCTCTTGTTCATCCCTCGGTCATCATTCATCAATATGTCTTAGCCTGCAGTTAATCCTATCTTCCTTTTTTAAAAACAAAAAACAAAAAACAACTCTTTGCTTGGGCTTTGGACCATCACACTTTTTGCTATCATACTGGCCTGCTACACATCTTTCTTCGCAAGTGGTGGTACTCTTTAGCCTCTAATGTTGGAGTTGGCCCACCAAGACTCAGTTCCTCACTCTCCTTCCTTTCCTCTTTGGTTTCTCACTAAAACATATCACCCCCAAATGAAACTTATAGTTTCAACCTCTTTACTAACTCCAGAACTAGATACCTGATTGCCCACTAGACTTCTCGTCTTGAGTGTCTAATACTTCTATCAAATCAACATATCTAAAATTCTCAACTCCTGTGTCCAACTCTTCCTTTCTCAATCTTGGTCTCAGAAAATAGCATCACTATTCATCCAGTAGTTAAAGCATAGAAGTTACAATTAATTAATTACTTTTACTTCGCAGCAACAATTTCAAATAGCTTTACTTTCAAACTATATTTGGCATCCTCAGTTTCACATCTATCACATTAGTATGGGTCCCAAAAGATCTCACCTAGGCTACTGACATGGCATCTTAACTGGACTCCCTACTTGTACTACTCCTCTCTGCCATGGTCTACTCTGTGTGGCAGCTAGAATGATTTTTAAAAATACAAATCAGGAGTTGGGGATGTAGTTCAGTGGTAGAGCATTTGCCTAGCATGTATGAAGCACTGGGTTTGGTTCCTAGTATCACCAAAAACGTGTGTGTGTATGTGTGTGTAAATCAGATCAAGTCACTACCCTGTGACTTTTCAATGGTGCTCCCTCATGCCTAGGCTGCAAGCTGATGAAGTTTCCTATGATCTCACTTTTGCAACCTCTCTAATCTCATTTCCTACCATGCTCCCCTCAGTCACTACATTCCAACCTTGCTCAACTTCTTGGGCTTCTCCACATACAAATTGTTCCCTCCTGTTCTCTTTGCCTGAAAGCTCTTCTCCATATTTCCCCCTAAATCACTACATTGTTTTCTCTGTCATTCTCTGCCTATGACAAAAGCAGTGTCCTCACCAAACCTTTCTTCTTGTGTACACAGGAAAACTACATATTCCAGTCTCTCTTGCATTACACTAGAAAAAGTGATAGTTTTAACCAACTAAAGTCCAAGTCTGATCCTAAAACATTTGGTGTAATTTTCCAAAGTCTCTCTTCCCCAACATCTAAAGCCAGAAGCAAAAGCTTCAAATTGCTGGAGCTACATAGCATAAGGAACATGAATCCCTAAGACACTACTTGGAAGGAAGGCAGCCTAGAGAGCTATGTTACACTTTAAATAAGAAACAATTTTTTATTCCATTAAACTATAGAGATTTTGAGGCTGTTCTAACAGCTAGCATTAATTACAGTACCTGAAATTTCTTCAGAAACTTTTTCTGACCACTCAATCTCAAATAGCCACTCATTTCTCAATTCTAATTGTTACTTTCCACAATGCATGCATGCTTTCTTGCTTTCTTTCTTTCTTTTTTTTTCTTTCTCTCTCTCCCTCCCTCCCTCTCTCTTTTCTTTCTTTCTTTCTTGCAAACATCCCTAACTTTGAGTATTTGTGTTTATTTACTTGTTTATTCTTTGCTCTCCCACTATACTGTAAGCTCCAAGAAAACAGGTACTTTATCATATTCGCTACTGTATTCTCAGGCCTGGAATAGTCCCTGGCTCGTTATCATCTCCATGGATAATGTTTGCTGTGAGCTTCCAGTGTGCCAGTTGCTAGTTTAAGTGCTTCAGAAGTAGTAACAAATATCTGATGAATGACAAAATGACTATAAATGATGCTTTGTGACTAACAACATTTGGATAAAAGCTCTCTGAATAGTTTTAAGTAAACACTGTCATTAACCCATAGTGGTACATGTCCAAGTTCAGAAATGCCCTCCATGGATAAGTCCTCCAAACTGCCCAGTGTTTTAACACATTCTTATTGAGAAGCTCACTGAATAAACATGTTATTTATTATATCAGTTATATGCCAAAAACATTTAATAGAGAGATCTTTGCATAGGAACTCCTGGCTTGAAGCAAATTTGAAGGAGAAAGCAAGAAATAGAATGGGGCTGAGCAGGAAACACTAGTGCTATATAAGCTAAATTAAGTGCCATAAAACCTAAGAGGAGGGCTTTCAGTGTCAATGACAGCTACATCAGAAGCAGCAAGAGGCAGTAGGAGTAGATAAATCTTAAACTTCCAAAATCTTCCAGAGAAGAGAGTAACTGTGCTGTGGGAAGCCTTCCAACTGTGCCAGCCATTGTCTGAAGACAAGCAAAAACAAACCTGAAGAATACGGGTCTTCTGTTGATTATTTGTCATTCTTCTTGACTTGGTCCTTTCCACTTCATGTCTGTGAACCCAACCTCGAAGTTCATGATTTAACCTATAAAACGAAATTAATTACACATATTTCACAGAAATAGATGTGTCATCCCTTGGCTGAAAATGAATTTAATCATTCTGTAGGTTCCAAAGAATTTTCCAAGGGCCTAATTACTCAATATTGCTTTTTAACTTGAAAAAGCTAAGATATTTAATGTTGTTTTTAATAAAACATGCATTTTTATATGTTAGCCTCTTCAATCATGAGTTCAAAATTCAAATAAAACCATAGTTAAATATCTGCCCAATATAAATACTGGCTATAAAAGTTTTTCCACAAAAATAGTATTTCCTATTTCTGCTCTTGAGCCATGTACAGTACATACAAGCATCTAAGACACTAGAGAAATCCTAACAGGCATCATAGGACACTTACCAACAAATGGATACATTAGGACTTTTGAAAATCCTTCTCTTTCAGGAGATGGAAAACAACACAAGTGCCAAAGGAAAGAAAAAGTTCACATTTTTCGATAGTGTAAATTAAAGACTAGTTCAATATAACTTCTCTTTATTTTGTTTACTTTGTAGAGAAGCTGTAAAGTGTGAGGCTATGCTTGTTTGACTATAATTGATTACTATTTAATACACATACACAGACATACAAAACTAAGGCAGTTTTTGAGGTGCGGGGACCCGTTCCAAAATCACAGGAAAAATTCAAGGGAAAAGTTGACAAGGAAGGGTGCAATAACAGGAAAATGTGTATGAATCACATAGCCTCAAATTATTATCTTCCTAATTTCAAGAAAAAGGTACCTTTTGCTATGGATGTTACCATCCACAAACATAGCCCTTACAATGAATTTTAATTATTTTGCAGTTTTCAAATAAAGATATATTCAAGTAAGCTACCATCACATCAAATAGACCCATCACCATCTCTTATCAGGTTGATAGGGAAACTGGAAAATGAATACACCCATGGTTATCCAATAAATAATTCACAGATTCTCTCAGCCACTCAGTAAATCTGAATTAATACTTTTCAATGTTCTAAGGCTAACCATGGGAGCTCACTTAGGTATTTCTGCCAAAATCTACAACACTCACCTGAGTGACTCGGTTGTATTAATCAGAGGTTGACAAGGAGGTGGAGGAATATAAAGTAGTGGTTCTTCAGTTAGTACCATTAGGGCTTTGTCATTTGAAACAGAATGATCATATCTGAAACATATATGCACATTATTTGTTTCCTTATCTCTTTCATCACTAGCATTAACTTTTCATTGAAATATACAGTAAATAAAACACACTGCAAAGTAGAAGTAAATGTAATAGAAAAGGAGAGCATAGTAATTCATGTTTGCCATTTATTGAGCAGTTAATGTGCATCAAAAATAAGGGATACAATGATAACATACGGTTCATGACTTCAATGAGCTTAAAGTGACACGGTAATGGGAGAATTTGAAATAAAGATCAAGTAGTTGATAAGAAGGACGGTATAATGTGACCAGGCCTAAAGTCTTATGGTCATTCATAGTTCTGTGATAACAAAACTGAACAACCTCCCTAAAACAACTATGTCTGAGGTGGGGGTAGAGTAATCCATAAAATACTTGACAGAATTAAAATGAAAGAGTAAAAAGGCTAAAAATTTCAGAACCATGGATCTGAATCACTAATACACAAGGGTGACATTAATTACTCTATTAACTTAAAAAATGCTTTTCTAATCATCATGCTAATCTATATCACATGAATTCATATCTAGGGTATGATGTACCGTAATGAAATCTGAGTTGAAAATTAGTATCTGAGCTGGGAACATTATTGCTATTTATTCTCTTCACTCTGGTATTTTAATTGTTGTCACTAAGAAATCTTAATTTGTCCTGAAATTCTTTATATAGGATGCTCTAGACTTATAAAATCAGATATGCTAAAACACCAAAAGAAAAAAATGTGAATATATAAAAACTGAACACAGCAAAATACATACTTTTATTTTTTCATTCAACTGAATATCAACTTTGTGCCAGGTTCTATTCTAGGTCCTGGGAATCCAACAGGAAAAAAGTCTCTACCCTCAGTATCTACTTTAGGTAAAATGGTCTGAGAAAGAGATGGTATTTAAGTTAAGGCCTAAATGATAAGAGGAAGCCAGCCCCATAGAAACCAGGGAGAGAGAATTCTAGTTAGACACAAGTTTGGAAAAAGCACTCAAGGAACCTAAAAGAAGACCACTGGCTGAAAAATTATGAGCAAGTGGGAGGGAGCAGGCACAAGAGGAAACTCGAAAAACAGAAAAGCCCAATTATGATAAGGAATTGCTAAATGTAATGAGAAGTCTTAAAACTATCTTAAGTACAGAAGTGAAATATGTGAATTTATATCTTGGATATAAAATGGATTTGAGGGAGGCAAAAGGAAAAGCCTGGAAACCAGTTAGGAGAGAACTATGGCAATCTAGGCAAGAACTAGCATGGACTAGGTCAGTGGCAATGGAAATGGAGACAAGTACAGAGGCAAAGCAATTTTTGGAAAGAATATTAATAGCATACATTGAAAGAAGAATCAGGGTTTCCAGCTTAAACAAAAGAAATGAGGAAGACTGTTGTAGACTACTGCTTAGAGGTTAAAAAAAGAGAAAAGAACTGAGTTCTACTATGTATATGTTAGGGTTGAAATGCTAAAATAGAGAGGTCAAGGAGACTATTGGATACAGGAGTCTAGGAACTCAGAAGAGAAGTCAAGACATCAGGATATACAGTCATAGATTCTGTGCTAAATTATAGGTGAATCAAAAAAGAAAACAAAAAAGTTCACAGTTCCAAACCTTGAGATTTGGATACAGGAGAATACTACAAAAAAGACTATGAACCAGCAGGCCAGTAAAAAAGAAGGAAGACTAAAACTGTAGCAACACAAAAGGAAACTTTTAAGGAGGGAGTCATCCACATGGCTGAGTGCTGGGGAAGGTCAAGAAACACGAAGACAGAAGTTTCCATTGGGTTTGGCAACACTAAAATCACTGGCCCCTTTAAAAAAAATAATTTTGGCAGAGTGCAAAACTAACTTCAAGATAAAAGTCAGAGAATGCTCTGTGTGCCACACATAAAGAAAAAGAACAAATAGCTGAGGATACAGAGAACATTCTTTCCTTGCACCAGGAACATTCTTAATGTGCTCTTTTCTGTCATTAGGTAATTAGATTAAAAACAGACATACTGGTACACAGGGAATGAAGGTACACTGTCTTGTGCTCAGTATACCCTTCAGAATGCCTACAGGAAGAAGCTGCTGTAATACACTAAAAAATTCAAGATCAAATATCTGTCACACATACATTATTTTAAAAATCATGCTGTACACTTAGAAAAATACAAACACTGTGGTCCATGAGAAAATCCAAAACTGCTTTGAAAATATATTTATCTATAATTTTCTTTCCATGTGATAAAATCTAGTAATGATTTCTGCACATCTGTGCTGACTAGATTTGTTTAATAGTCAAAAATATTTTTGAGAAAAGAAAAAAAGTTCAACAGGAGAAATGCCAGGACAGAGACTGGGTGGAGTTAAAAGAAAAAAGAAAGGGAGAATCTAAGCCAATACGTAACCTGGAGACAATCAGATCCACACTAACCCAGAGTTCTAGGCTGCTCGAAAACCACTTAAGAAAAAAATTTTAGCAAATAATTAAAATAAAGGAACTAGGGAGCTAGTTAATGAGATTTCCTGGAAAAAGATAGGTTATGATTGATGCCTTTTACAGAAGGTTACAATCCTTTCCTATTTATCCAAAACAGTCCTGATTTATGCCTGATGTCCTCACAGAATTTTTTTCTCATGTAGGCTAAATGGAGACAAGCCTGGAACTACTGTCATATTCACATTCAGCAGGATGGATGTAACAAAGTAATAATCAAGAATGATTCCTCTATGGCCCTCAGCTTATAAAACCTTACAACACTAAAAGTAAAAAATCTCAGCTGGGGATTTAGCTCAGTGGTTCTGTTGCCGGCCTTGCAAGCGCAAGGTCCCAAGTTTGATCCCCAGTACCAAATAAATAAATAAATAAATAAATGTAGAAAAATCTTTAATAATTTTCAAGCATAATACTGTACAATGCTTGCCATTCTGTCACCTCACTTTGCCTTATTAGTCAAGGCCCCAGCTCCATCTGACTCTGATAAAAATTGTAAAAACACAAAGAAATGTTTATCAGAAAGTACACAGCTTTGCAAAGGTCCACTCTAACCTTCTTTGAGTTAACAGAATACAGAAATTCTATTTTTGTAAGTCTACTTCTATTGACAAGCAATAGGGAAATTCATCAAGTCAGTATTAAATTATTACAAGGGAGGAATTTAGCAAAGATCACCATAAGTATAAATTTAACCAATGACTACGAATAGGTTCATTCATCATTCTAACATAGCATATCCACCCACAGATCAAACAGTAACAAATATTAGATAAATTAAATGTACAAACACAATAAACTAGCTAAAATGAATGAAGATATTACCTGTGGTTCAGTTTTACGTGTTTCAGTATAAGTGTATATTAATGCACACAAATTGAGATTTTATGGTCACATCTCAAGAATTCATTGTCTCAAGAAAGGTTTCAAAATAAATTTATTCTTAGAATTGATCTTAAAAATAAAATTTACTAACGGCCTCAGCAATTCATCTGTTCTCCTAGTCAAAGCTGTATTTAAGTTATACTAGATGGAATTCTGTTTCAGTTTCACTAACTCAATCAGGTCAACATGCCATCTTACCTGTAGCTGTTTTGCTGGATGATACCATTTGATGTGCCTTGTTCTTCTTTAGCAGAAAATCCTAAAAGATGCCTCCTTTGATTTGCAGGGCTCACATTAGGGTTCATTCTCCTGGGATCCTGTTCCAGCATGCTAAGGAAAAAAAAAAACAGTAATTGAAATAAAAATGTCACACATGTGTATGTTACATGTACTCTAAAACAAACCAGATTTTCTTCATAGGTCCATACATAGAGCAAATGGCATAGAACCAAGTCAAAACAATGTACTGATACATAAATACTCTAGGCCTGGCATCCTGTACATATTAAAAACAATTCTGAAAATTTTATAAGTATAAATCTCTTTATTTTTAAACTGTTTAAACAAAAGCAGGACCAGGGATTTAGCTCAGTGGCACCATGCCTGCCTCACAGGCGCAAGGTCCTAAGTTCAATCCCCAGTATAAAAAAAAAGAAAAAGCAGTGTTCAATATGTTTAAAAACTCTATAATGGTGCTATGTAAGTTATTATAGTTTGGATCTTAAATGTCCCTCAAAGGCCTGTGTATTGAAGACTAGGTCCCAGCCTTTAGGTGGTCTGGCCTTATGGAAGGAAATGAGGTCCCTGGGAGTGGCCTTTAAAGAAGATATTGGGACTGCAGACCCTCCTATCCCTCTCTCTTCCCAGCCACCAGGAGATGCATAGGCCTCCTCTGCCCCATGCTCGCATGATGATGCACTGTGTTGCCACAGCCAAAGCAACAGGCCAAGTGACCACAGGCTATGACTTCATTAGCTAAAATAAACCCTTCCTCTTTTAAATTGATTTATCCCAGATGTTTGTTATAGCAACAGCTAACTGACCCATATGTATACAAAGTAGAAACATAAACATACAACATTCCCTTTAAAAAATTTAAAACTCAGCTAAAAACCGAGTAGTCTTCCTAGATGCTGCAAACTGATGTTTGCAATGAGGGAACATTTCAAATAAAGGATGGATTATTCTCTTTTGACAGTCAAATTCATTATTAGCCTTTCACAATTCCAGGAGCCAGGCTATTAACTAAAACTAACAAAAATTTATTTTAAAAATGCTTCTATTTTTATTTACATGTAAAATTTTCAGCAGGCAACCCACTTTCTGGTGCCCCTCTGTCTCTCTTAGACAGAAGCTTTCTTTCTCTCAGTAAATTTGTCCTATTCTTAATCTCCATTGTTCCTAGAATTCTTTTTTCGATTTTAGAGAACACGAACTCATGTTTCAGATATCTAGTAGATTTAGGAGTTACATCTCTTCCCCCTATATCATTTTGGAGGTCTTCCACCAAGATTACTCATTAGAGTTTGGAGACCAAAACTAGAAAGGTAACTGGGCTATGAGGACAGTCAATATTTTGGCCCTGGCCCCTCAAGATCAACAAAGATCCAGGACACAAAGGAACCTCTCCTACAGGATCCTACATCTTTGGTAAGTCACTCAACCTCCTGAGCAGGGAAATTGCTGGGCACCAGAGGACAAATGTACAGTGTGCCAAAGGAGGGTCACAAAGAGGAAAAAAATCTCCCACACTTTCACTGAAAGCAACATGGTCAAGCAAGGCCGTGACCCATCCTGACCGGCTGACACTGACAGAGGAGCTGAGAGGCTCTATGCATGGTTCCAAAGCAATGCCTGAGGAGACTTAACTGACCTTGATAGATAGCAAGAGGTTCATACTGATTGACACAGGTCTCACTTTAACTTGGTCTTGAACACCCAGCAGAAAAGAATAATCAAAAGATATAAAATAATGCCATAGTAATAAAACTAGATATAAAAAGGGACTCTAGTCACTGACCCCTTCTGGCAGTTTCCAGCTACACCAGTAGCTGACCACAGTTATAGATCATTAGGAAAAAACTATGGTAAAATCTGTAAGAACTCAGCTAGAGTTTTAAATTTCTTAAGCGAGATTTGTTCTTCAAATTTTCTCTTACCTTCTTACAGCTAAAACTAGACAGATTTATGACAAAGTATCAGACTAATACATAACCTTTATCAATGAAAGAATCTAAGAGCTAGCAGGTTACAATCACTATTTCAATTTCTAAGTGTGACTTTCTCCCCAACCTGCCCTTCCACTCTAGTGTGCTCATGCTTAGATTATACATGCTCTAATTTCTTAAAAGTTTTGTTTATTCTTGCCTAGAGGCTGCCAAACTCCAAGCAGTCATACGAATGGAACCAATGACAAATGTGCTAGAATTCTTTTACAGGGATCCACCAGATCGACCTTGTAAACAGCTCACAACTGCTAAACTACACAATATGATTTCTATGTTGGATTCTTAAGTCCCCTGGACCATCTTATCCTCTGAGAGGCTATTACTAGTTCCTCCCAGTGGAAACACTTGTTGGCTATATTCATAGCAACCCTGCTGACCTTATAATTTGGCCCATGTTTTCTTAACTATTTCTTTGGCTTTGTCTTCTTCAGACTCACAGCTATACGGCTACCAAGATGACAATGCCTGGCACCTATCGAGGGCCTTTAGATAGACCCTGTGTAGAGTAGCTCTGACTGCTGATCACAACTACGACCCTCTTCAGCTGGAAGCAGCCAGAACGGTCTTCACCCTTTGCCCCCTCACAGCAGTTAGGGGTACTTCTTCAGAGGGGGGGAATACTGTAGATAGGTAACTTAATTCTATATCTTGTAGGCAGTTAGACAGGGCCTCCCTTAAGGTGCCAGCCCTCCAGGAGCCAACATGGACAACAACTGAGGCACATTCACTGGTCAGCATTATAAAAAGAGGAGGTACGAGGGCAACTTGCTTTCTGGTCCTCCTTCTGTCTCTCTTAGACAGCTTTCTTTCTCTCAGTAAATTTTTCCTACAATAAAAAAAAAGGAGGAGGTACTACTTCCTCTTGATATTCTAAATTCTTAGATTGATATTCTAAATGGAAAATTCCTTGTGACTTGTTTTCCCATTTGATCCCCATTTAATCAATATTATCTGGGTGACTGTACTTGTAATCTTATTGGTTGGTCATGGTTTTGTCCCACCTCATGGCCACCTTGTAAATTTCCATTGGGTCTTATAGTTTTTTCCCACTTTGTATTCGCCTCACCACATGGCTTTGCTGTATAAAACAACTTTGAAAAGTGGGGTGGGCAGGCAAACCACTTTCTGGTCCCCCTTTTGTCTCTCTTAGACAGCTTTCTTTCTCTCAATAAATTTTTCCTACTCTTTTTTGTTTTTGTTTTTTTTTGTACCGGGGATCAAACTCAGGACCTTGTACTTGCAAGGCAGGTAGCAGAACTACTGAGCTAAATCCCTGGCCCAAATTTTTCCTATTCTTAAAAAAAAATTTTCAGTTTACTTCTTTCTCCCCACTCTCCCTAATATCTTCATTCATCAGTATACATCCTCTTGATAGGCATAAATATTTGTGGAAAATAAATATATATATGAATGAATATGCCTGTAATTCTTGGAGGCCGAGGTAGGAAGACTGCAAATTTGAGCTCAGTTTAGACAACTCAGTGACTTAGTAAGACCTTGTGTCAAAAACAAATTTTTTTAAAGGGCTGGGGAAGTAGCTTAGTATGAAAGCTCAGGGTTCAACCCTTGGTATCAATAGTAACAATGAAAAAAAGACAGATTCAATATATATTTTTATATATAGTCCAGATATAATAGTAATTTAGCTTATTAATCATGTGCTTAGAAACATCACTCATCAATAAGATTTTTATGTCTGTTTTATTTTATTACATCACACATAATTTACACTAGTCACAATTTTGAAATTCAATGCAAAGGGAATCATCCTAGAGAAACATAAAAGATTGTTTAGAGGGATGAAATGGGAAAGAAAAGCTGATAAAAAAAAGGGGGGGGGTAAGGGGGCCAGGGATTTAGCTCAGTGGTTCTGGTGCCTGCCCCACAAGTGCAAGAACCCAAATTCGATCCCCAGTACCAAAAAAAAAGGGGGTAGGTAAATACCCCATGGTTCAACAGAAAAGTTCTTTGGAATATAGTAGTTTTCCTCCAATTTCAGGGGAAGCGTTGTTGGAGGGACACAAGAAGCAGATATATCTCTCTACTTTCCTGATCTCTTATTATCATCCTCATTCTCCCAAACTCTTTACCCCTAGAAACACTGTGACTCAGTGATTCTCATATGCTATGCTGTGGCACTTTAGCATACTGCAAACTATTCAAAGGTATATTGCCAAATGATGGCCATTGTATAGTTTGCTACATTATATTTTTATTGTATTTTTTATTATAATTGTGTATTTCAGACTAAATGGTCACTTGAGCAGTCACACGAAACTATAAGCCTTGCTGCAAATGAGATAAAAGATCCAGTGGCATATTTAAGCAAATTTAGGAAAACCTAACCTAGTGAGTATTTAAGAAAACATGAAAGAAGAAGTTAATTAGTTCAGAATTATTAACATTTTAAAGTTTTTAAAGAGCCTTCTACTGATCATTGTTCTTCCAATGTTTTGGAAACCACTATGAACAGTGGTATTTCAACCCACAATTTATGGATGTTTCAAGAAAATGCCTTGAATTTAACTATTAGTGTAGTCTATTTCATCTGTAACCAGACTATGCTATAATCATTTAGCTACACTTGTTGAAAATCAGCTTTGATGTTGACTTATAAATGGGCACTATTTCTCCCATGGTCCACATTGGTAATGACTTTGTCACTGTAATAACAACATATCCTTAGCCATAGCTACTTTAGTAACTTTGCTCCTTTTTTAGCCAAAGAGCTTAGATCTTAATGGACTTCACAAAAATTATCTTTATAATACCTATGTTACACAGATTCAACAAAATATTTTGAACATGGTAATGAGTGACAGGGCAAAAATTAGAGTTCAGATAGTCTGAGTCTCAATTTTATTATTTACATATATTTTGAAATATATAGAACATATTTTGAAAGGATAATATGCATATTAAAAAATTTTGTTAAGAATCTCTCAAGGTTTTTCACTTGTTTGTTTTTGGCTATTACTGTTGGGTGGCTTTCATTCCCTGTAGATTTTAAGTCTTAAAATTAAATTTCTAAAAAATGAAAAAAAAAATTATTTTAAGCTTAAATATGAGCAAGATGACTCTCCAACTTAATTAAAAAAAAAA